AAGCATTGCATTCCTTCTTGCCTGGAACCTTCATCCTTGTGATAAATTCACTCAAGTAACGCTTCACTGCAGTCTGCTCCTTCTCACTCCAAGGTCTTCTCTTTAAAGCAGGTTTTTGTACAGTTCCTAGAAGTTTAAAGAAAAGGTTTTTAAAAAAAATTACGTGTGTAAAATCTTTATCCAATTAAGAATTGCTATTTTAAATGTTAAAGGTGCATTAACTAAGATTTTACACAGTCTTTCAAATGAAGTGAAAATGGGACAGGAAGTGGTCTCTTTCAGCTATAACCCTCCCTCCATGACACTCTGCTGCCTACAGCACTACTGTTATTATTCCAGCTTCTCTAACCTGTGTTGTCAAAGTACGATCTGTAGATTAGCCCCGCTTGCTACCTAGCCAAGGTAATAAGTGTTTTATGAACAGCAAATAGTCATTTCAAACAGCCAGCCATGGATGAGCTCTCTCAACCTCTAAACTTAACACATTAATGCAAAATGAGCAAATGATACTCACCATCTCTTGCAGTGCTGGATGGATTTGTTGACTGTGTTCGATCCATCTTGAGCAGTTGTTTGCTCACTTCCTCCAGCTGTGATGCGTTTTTTGAAAGCCTGTAACACTCCTGGCTGCTTCTTCCTATCAACTTGGCCACTTGATCCAATGCATGTTCACCAAGGCTCATTAGCTGCCAGCAGCTGGCAATTTGCTCTCTTAATGATGACGACAGTAGTGCTTCTGGGTTTTTAACTCCACACTCCATTGCAGCCCTTCGGCAACAATCCAATCCTCTAATGAAGGAAGGACCTTCAGTGCGTGCAAACAGGTATGGATTCATTTTTGACACCCCTGCTTGCTCTCGATTTTCAATGAGCAAGTCAATTGACAAAACCATTCTTTCTGTTAGCAGAACTAGCATGTTCCTACCATACTGACCTTCTAGTTCCAACCTGGTGAAATTGGCACCAAGTTCGAGCTCCAGTTTTGTACTTTTCCTTATTTGATCGGCAGAGGGCACAAATGGTCCCCTACTGTTTTTGTGAGTATAAGTTTGCAAGAGCATTCTACCAATATTTCCTACCCTTCCTCTGTTGAATAGACACACATCTGCTAGAGTTGCCTCACTGAGCTTTTTCCATGTTGACAAACTAGGACTTTCCTTCAGCTCCGTCCTGGCTTCATCTTCTTCCCGTATGATAAATCTGTGGAGTTTTATCAAATCTTCTGTTACAGTTGATTTGTCTACTTCCACTTTCTTGCCTTCTTGCTTTAGAGATAATGCCAGAGCTTTGCGAGAAAAGCATTCACTCCATTTTGTATCAAGAAGCTGTATGAACTTTTTCACTTCACTTTCAGTTTCACTGTCCTCTGTCATACGACTCTCCCCAAAAGCTATTTCAGCAGCTCTTTTCAAAGAGTAGCCTATCTTTGATACAAGAGAAACTGTTTTAAACTTACTAGAACTGGGATCAAAACCACTAACCTTTTTGGCCCCTTCAATGGCTAATTCAAATTTGGATGGTAGACAGATTTCATGCAAATACCTGACACTTTCGTCAAGCTCATTTACAGCGAGTACAAATCTGCCTAGTTCCCTCATCTTTTGTGCAATATAAGCAAACTGAGACTTGTCATGGGAATACTTAGCAGACAATGCATTGCCATATTTACAAATAAGTGGGTCATTTCTGATATGTCTTGAGATGTCATCTTGATGCATGATGTGGATGATTTCCTCACAGCCTCCAGTTAAGAATTCTGACATTGGAAGCAGCCGGGAGGCAACACTGTGTACTCTGCCTCTGTTTTTCTTTTCAGAGGATTTCTGATCTCCTTTTCTGGCTTTACATGACCGCTCATGTCTCCAGAGATCAGTTTTGCGATAAAAAGCAAAGCAGTGCTGGCAAGGCAGGAAGTCACGAACAGATATGTTGGGATTTTTCACTTGTTTCTTTGTTACAATTTCTCCCTCACCACATTTGAGAACTTGACAGTTGTGTTCATAATCTCCTTTATTGCGAATTTGGTCAAGCAAAGCCTGCCTGACTTTGGAACCTTTTGGAAAGTGTACTGCATGGGCAACATCCGTTTCCTCCGCATGTTTCCTTTCCAAATGCTTTGTCAGTTGAGTAAAAGCCATTTTACAATATAAACAGAAGTGCTTTTTGCATGACTCCTTTTTCTCATCATCCACTGTGCTAGATGTTGTTTCAAGCACTTTCTTACAGGTCCTTAGACTTGAACGTGTTGGTTGTTTCCTGTCCACAGTTTTTCTGTGGCGCCGTGAACGTCTTTTAGCCACCTCCTTTGTCCCAATCTCAGACAAAACTTGATTTGTACTGTTTGAGTGACCTGCCACTACCTCCTTTGCCTTGTCACTCAAATCATTTGCTTCCTTGGGGAAAATCTGTTTTTCAGCTACGTCCTTTTGTTCTGTTTTTTCATCATCCCCTGCTGGCATCTCTTCTGCATTTGTGGCTGAATTTGAATTATCAATGTTGAAACTCATTTCACTTGATAAACCACCTTGTGTGTCATCTGACATCTCATCGTCCCCTGCTTGCTTCTGGTCTTCCTGTCCTAGACTTTCCTGCTTGGTAGCTGAATCACAAGCAGCTGTTTTGAATTCAGTTACATCACTCCCACATTTTTGGATCTTTTCATGTTCTTTCTCAGTAACTTGCTCAGTGCTTGTACTGGTGGGGCAGCTTGGCATTTTTTCATTATCTGTTGGACCATCCAAGTCTTGTGGGCTATTCTCTTTCACACTTGCAGTACCCTCGTCATTTCTTGCAAAGTTAAGGTTAGAAGTCAACCTAAGAGCATCACTCGAACTTCTCTCTTCAATCAAGCTCCTCTCTCCTTCAAATGACCTCTTCTCACCAATAGTACATGCCTGTAAAAAAACAAGTATATGTAAGACTCATTGCCAAATCAGACCCCATGAATAATTTGACTGCTTTAACTTAAAACACATACCCATTAGGAAATAAATGTTTGGGAGGAATAAAAGCTAAAATTTGGTTTGACTATTAGTTGTTAAGTGGTGGTCAAAAGTCAAGTAGCTTTTTTGTATTGCATTCTCAAAATCCTTTGCACATTTTTCAGTTGCTGTTTAACGCATCAGCACCTTGGCAATGCCCCACCAAAATCCAGGCTCATTCAAACAAAAGTCAATGTGATGGCCACACATCACTTTTTAGACCAACATCAATATCAAAAAAACCCATGACTCCCCTGAAATTGCCCATACAAAAACCACGTGACCCATTCGAGAACAGTTAATGGCTTTATTGGATCAAGCAGCGATTTGACATTGTTTAAATGTCTAACCATGTATATGCAGTCATGGGGTGTTGGATGAAATACTACATGGAGAGAACAAATTATGCACTGACACTAGACCTACATTCATGGATTGCAATCAAAACAAAAATGATGTCATACACAAAAAGAAACTGGCTTAGCATAGTGGTGTTTTTACAGTCAAATCTATCAATCTGGTGAGTTCACGCAACATGTTTTCAATGTGGCAAAAAACAGGAACATATAATAAGAGTCCACAGCTAAGCCAGGTACACACGCAAAACATGGTGTTCAGCCAGTCACAAAATAACATTAACCCTTTTAATTAGACACTATGTGTGCTTTAAAAATTTTGATGGTATGATAACAAAAAGAGAGATCCTGAATACATGATAGTTACTGCTGCATGCTGCAGGTGTTGTGCAATGATTAGCATGATGACAAGTTCTGAAAGCCAATACATTATGTACCTGCTTCAAAGGATTCATCTTGTCCTTCTACTTCATGTACTCAGTGTCTTCTCTTGTACTGGCTTGTTCACTGCAATGAAAGATGACACCAGTCTCTAATGTGCACACATTATGGAATGTATATAAAGATGACAGAAAAACGTTAGGTCCAAGTTACCAATATACAACTACGCATAAAATTAAAGAGCCAAGCACAAAGTATATTAACCAGACAATGGGTTTAATTTCATAGTTTGGCTAAGATAGAGAAACTGAAGGTTCATGATTAAACTGAATTAAATCATCAGGCCTATCAGCACTGTTTTGATATGGCAAGTTTCATGTTGATATAGCTGATACAGGACGATAGCTAAGTGCATCGAATGTCATCCAGCCAGCAGCAGTACAAGGCAGTAAGATCTCATGGGATTTTTCTTAGCTTTTTACATATTCTGCCAATGTTAGAACAATGCAATACAGGTTTAAAGTAACCAAAATGGCCCTTTAATCTACAATATCTACTATTTACGACACAGTTGTTTCTGCCTCATAATGCAAAATCAAAGTGCTGTACTCTGATTAAATTACAGCTTTTTAAAATATATACATAACAGTGCTTAAAATAAGACATTTTTCTATTACCATAAAACAATTTAAGAAAACAGCTGAGACCACAGTCTTACCTGAGTTTGTCGTAAAAGCAAAGATGCTTTATAGACGCAGAAACATCTTGAGATGATGAATAATTAGCGGATATGAAAGAGTAATTTCTGTCAATGTAGATCTTCTGAGACCGATTCCTTGGTGCACAGTTGTAAAAAAAAAAAAAAGTAGACTTCAGCTGTTCACTTATGAATAATGTATGGGTTACGATTAAATGGTAAATGGTCTTATACTTGTATAGTGCTTTTCTATGCATTGCAGCACACGCAAAGCGCTTTCACACTATTTGGTCATTCACCCATTTAAACTCCCACATTCAGGCACCGGTGTCATCACCGGGAATAAGCCGGGAATCGAACCGCTAATTTTCCGGTTAGAAGACGACCCACACTACCTCCTGAGCCACAGCCTCCGCCAACAGAAAAAAAGAAGTAATTGATTAAGATCCGTTGAATGTATTATCCCCGAGTCATATAGCCCTAGTGAGCCACTGTCCTAATGTTGACTTACAGATTTATTGGAGGCATCAAAAAAGTTCAGGAAGTCCAATTTTTGCTTAACTCAAATCACAAACTGATTACTGTATCTGAGACAGAAAAACATTTTAGAAACACCTGTTATATGACATTCAAATACCACCTTGATATATTTGTACCAGTTTTAAAGATTGTGCTAAAACTGCTAAAATATGTTTAGCATGAAAACATTCCATATGGGTCGGAAACAAATCCTGGAACACCACTGTTTATGCCAGATGCTCTTCACAGATGTCTAAACATGTTCCCATCTCTGTCCTCAAAATGAAGTATAATTTTAATACAAAGTCAGTCATGCATTTGCAATGCAAAGAATCTGGCTGTGCAAGTCAATGTTATAATAACCCAGCACCATGTTTTATGATTATATATAAAATTCATATTTTTTTCATATATATATATTCACAATCACTCCCACGCATACACACTGGGGGCAACCAAGGCGCAAGCTCTAAAATTTACCAAATGTGCTTTTGTCATGGACTTTTTTAAAGAACTGAAGAAGCCTTGAGATATATAAATTAAAAAGGAAAAAAAAGGTACAAGTGAGCCACTAGATAAAAATTTACAACTTTGTGTGAATGACTTTTAAAAAATTTACAAAAACTAAACATTTTGTAGGTGACAGAACATACCTCTTGGTCCAGGTTGTAGTCTTCTTTGGAATTAAGTGCCAGTTTTACAGTCATGTAATCTCCACTTTTCACAGCATCCCGCAACTCACCTGATAGGAACAAGAGCCAAAATAAAGTTTAGAGAAAGTATATTCAAACATACTTTACATGATATTGTAAAAACAGTAACACCTAACACTTTTTTTATCTACCTTAAAAAACAAACAAAAAACATCTAATTTAAGAGTATGAGCCTATTCTGGACAAAGGATTTTATAAGTTTATAATGTAAGAATTTATCACACTGGAGGTAATCAACAGAACTCAAGCTAAATAGTGGTCAATGAATTGGCTGCCTACATGAATAGAGAAGTGATGACAGATTACTGTTAAAGGCAGTTAAATAAACAGCTTTTACACTTTATAATCCTGTGTTGACCATCCAATTTCCAACAAACAAGTATTTACATGAAAATCTCTCTTTTCTCTAGACAGTATTTATGACAATGGCAGGTTAATCGAATAGAATAAAACAAAATACCTTTATTGTCATTGCATAGCAGTACAACAAAATTAATTTTGCATCCCCAGTAGGGTAGAATAAATAAATAAAAAACAATAAAATCAAAAACAGACTAGACAAACCTGATAAAAGAAATAAAACATGCATATATTGCCCCAGATGTTCTAGCACTTCCTATTTCTTCAAAGAGTTCAGATCAGTTTTAATAGTCCTGTCAGGGATGAGCCAAGTCCTCCACAATATTATTTGCCTTGTAGAGGCAGCATGATCTAAAAATGTCCTAATTTATATCCCACATAATTTATCCAAACAAATATGATCTACGGTTACTAGCTAATCATGCCCGTCATATAAAACCACACTTGACTGTTAGCATGTGGCTTGCTGTAGCTAGCACAGGCCAGACTTGTGTGTGTTGGGATATTAGCTGGCAAAAAATGTGTTTACATTTCCAGAAGAGGGCGGCTGTGCTCCTGTTTATTCATTTCTCCCTTGGTGTCCTCAAAGTGAGTGAGGTGTATGTGGAGGCTAACAATCATCTACAGCTCCATGTTCTCTCAGTCAAGGCACATGCTGATTTAGAACTATACCTCACCCAAACATTGTTTTATTTGGAAATGTGCTACATCACAGAAGCTGTAAAGCTGCTGTAACTGCTGTTCCACTGAAACAAGGAGTCAGAGTCGAACAGCAGTCAGGTATTCCTTTGTGATGCAAGATGTCCTGATGTTATGAAAACTGTGCCATTGCCATGTCTAAATACTACTGAGGTGCTGATTACCAACCACATGCTCTTTAAAATGACCCTGACCAAGTTAAAATGTCACCTATCAACTTCTTGAAACGCAGTAGTAGTCAGTCATTAGACAGCAGCCAGCTAACTGTCTAATGTGCAAATACTCACTGGGTGATAATGGTGGACCCGACAGTATCTCATCCTCTCCATTCAGATGTTTCTGGAAGTCATCCAGAGTCATCCAGTCCAGGTTGAGGTCCATTCCAAGACTTAATGTGGCTTGGCCCTTGTCTGTACAACATATAATGAATAGAGATGCTGAAGTTAAACTACCCTGAAATCCTTGTTCACAAGTTTCAAACCTCAGCTTATGTAGTAACACTGAGGTCACATGCTAAGTCGATCAAAAATAAACACAACCGACACCTCAACTATGGAGCAGTAACTGTATAATTAGATATCAAACAACAATCTGATGTTTGGACACAGCATGAGCTCACATCTGTGGCCAATCAGGAACATACCAGATTTTTCAGCAGCCTCTGGTGGGTCCTGGGTGTCCTGACTGTCATCACATGCCATGAAGAGTCTGGGCTCACTGTCCTCTCTCCTCTTCCTCCTGTCATCTGATGCTGGTTTCCTCTCCCAGCTAGGTCTCTGTGGCTCTTCTGGCCGCTCCCTCCGCTCCCGGGAATCCTCTCCAGGCCTGGGCTTTGCTGCAGTTTCTTCTCTCTCTTCGCTGTCCAGGCTAAAGCCATGACACTGGCTGGGTCTGGCGACTAAAAGCAAAGCAGACAGGTGGTAATATTTTTTTTGGAGATGTGACAAAGAGCCTGAACCAGCATTTCATCCTTCATCAAAGCTGTCAAACCTATAGAAAGCAGCAGATTGTTATATCTTCAGAGTTGCCACTGTACAAATAAATATCAAGTTCCTGGGCCATCATGCCAGTCTGTGAAGCAGAGGCAATTTGGGATTATGCACAGAGGGACATAACAACACCAGTACTAGGTGGTGGCATCCACACACTAGAGGAGGCAGCAGGGAAAAGGCTCAAGGTTGTGACCAAGCCCTTAAATCTGTCTTCATTAGATTTACCTCTTTTGCATTTTTGTATCTGTTTTTCTCTTTAACCTGCTGTTTAGTTTGGTCATCAGCTGAAGTCAGTTTGGTTTAAACTAAACATCTATACACAAATGTTTTTCTACATGTGATCTTTCTTTGACTGTGTGCCATGCATACCTTCTGTTTGCTTTGTCCTCTCAGGCTCTGGTTTCTGAGCTGGAGACTCTTTGATTTGCTTGGGGATCTTCTCGATCTTTCCAATTAACTAGTGTATGGACAAAAAAAGAAAAGAAACATACATTAAAATGTTGCAGTTTTTCAGGCAAATATTAATGTTGGACTGGCAGACCGGGGTGGTGGTCCCTCTTTTTAAGAAGGGGGACCGGAGGGTGTGTTCCAACTATAGGGGGATCACACTCCTCAGCCTCCCCGGGAAAGTCTATGCCAGGGTACTGGAGAGGAGAATTCGACCGATAGTCAAACCTCGGATTCAGAAGGAACAATGCGGTTTTTGTCCTGGCCGTGGAACACTGGACCAGCTCTATACCCTCTTCAGGGCAGTGGAGAGTTCATGGGAGTTTTCCCAACCAGTCCACATGTGTTTTGCAAATTTGGAGAGGCATTCGACTGCGTCCCTCGTGGCGCCCTGTGGGGGGTGCTCCAGGACTATGGGGTCCGGGGCCCTTTGCTAAAGGCTGTCCGGTCCCTGTACGACCGGAGCAGGAGCTTG